TGGAGGTTTCTGATTTACAAGTACAAAAAAAAACATTTATGGTTCAGTCTGTGCTTCCATATTTACCCAGCTGATGTACTTATGAAACACAAACATACATATGCAGGGGACTTCTGCTTGAAGATTCCAAAATAGACAAGTTAAAGCTTGCACTTCAAAATACATACATACAAAACCTCAATTAAAATACTTCAATTAAAGTAATTATCTAAAAGTTAGGATGGAGGCAGACTTGGCAACACATCATTAACCTAAGGAGAAATCTCAGGTCTCATTCTATAGTCCTTCCTGCCAGCTATAAGATACGAATAACTACAACTATGAAAATGGCTACAGATAAAACACTCTCTGAAAGACATTGTGCAAAAAGCATGTGGGTCACATTCAGCTTTTGAATGTGTTCTCGTCATTGCTGATTAAAGCAGCAACAGGTAAGCTAGTCTGAGTGAGTCCTACTTGAAGTCATCTGTCTCCAGGAAAAACAGCACAGCAATCATGCTAATACCCCAATAAACAATACTGAGTTAAGCCATATGAGCTATAAGCGTTCTTTGCACAGAAGGACTTCTGTCCAAGAAGAATCTCAGCATTCACATTCCAACACAACATGAATTCAGATCTATAATCCATCATTATCATCTGCCAACAAAGAGAATCCCCTTCCTATCCCTGTCCAAGAAAGTTGACCTCCTGCTTAGCATACTCCATGAACTCTGAAGACCTCAACTGATCAATTTTGCAACATGTTTCATTCATACCCTTAGATAAATTAATCCCTCAATGTATCAGGTCCCCTTGTTATAAGACTGGGATCAGACTGACCAAATCCTGAGTCATAAGGATAAATTACTCAAGCCTTGAGAAGACAAAACATCACAAATCCAAACAAACAAAACAACAAAAAACCCCACAAAACAACCAGACTATCACAGAGAGTATACTAACACACCTTACTGGCAATTGATCAGTAGTTTATGGCAGTGGAGGATCCACAATGAACTGAAAATACCAACTTTCATTTGCTCATTTCTACAATACAAAAACTCATACCTCCAACAAATGTCAACAAGTAATTATGTAAAAACTCACCTGCCCAATGACTTTGAGTTTAATGTATTCCCCTTCTTTCTTATCTCCCAAGTCCTCAGCTGAAGGTTTTGCTTCCTGAAGGAAAAACATTAAAGAAAAACAGTTCAACACTCTGTTATTTTCACAGGACAGCATGACGGCTGTCATCCTCTTTATTACTCAGACTACGGAAGGCATCTTCTTTCTTTCTTTCTCTGTGTGAAAATAATAGCATCATAGTATTATGAAAAGGCTACCTGTCTGTGAAGTTTGTTTAATGACAGAAGAGAAACACTGTGAAGAACATAAGAGATGCAAAAATGATAAGCATAGTCTTATACCACTAACTCCTAATCAACAAGCAGACTGCAAAAAAGAAACACAGGAAGTGTACTAAGGTCAGATATTTGACAGATAAAAGAACACCACAAGGAGAGTAAGCATTTGTGACACCCTGTCAGCATAAAAAGAGTGAACCAATCAAACATTTTTCAGTCTATTGCACCAACAGCAGCCACTACTTTCAAAAGGATGGTCTGTCACCATCTTTTCTATGGCAACACAACATTAAGTAACAGCTTCCTTCCAGCATGTTTGTTTTAAGTACACAATTCTTTAAAGTTGCAGTTCTAAGAACTATAGTGTTTTGATATCTTTTCAGGATAAAAAAATTAATTGTACAGACTACAGACAAGTTTGATTCACTTGCTTCATTGAGCACTACAGCCCAGCAAAATGGTTTAAACATTTGTTCTGCAAGACATGAATCAAGGACATCAAAGTTTTTGTGTCAGCTGCTGATAGATAAGTGAGAGATCAGGCACTACTAACCCCATCCCTTGCCTGTCACTACATATTCTGGATCAGGCCTCAATTATGTTCCACTGCAGCACAAAGGAATTTTACACAGACACTGCCTCAGGTCCAGATGGTGCTCGATGAAATCTTGTGAAGTAATCAGAAACAAGGATACCCTGCTGATCATGCTTCAAATCTTCCTGTATATCTTCCTGCTTAACACAGTAGACAAAACAAGCAAAACACATGTAAGTTTACCCAGCCCTAAAGGGGCCATTTGCCGAGTATACAGAAATATCCTTTGGTTGAACTTTAGGATCAAGCACCAAAACCACATACTAGCCTTCTGTATTAAGTCCATCCATATATGTCTCTATCTCTGTATTAAAATGGCAGGCAGGTCTTTTCAAGATTCCCTTTCCCCCTTAAACGTGCACAACTCCTTCGAATGTTAAAAAAAGTTCAGGGAATGGCAGGGAGCAAAGCCTGCAAACACCTTCCTTATCTGTATCAGTATCCATCTGAAGAAAAGAAGGAGAGAGGAGCCTGCTATTTGTATCAGTTTGACTCGATGCCTCAAGCCGGATCCATTCAGTTTCTTCAATGACAAAAAAGCTGACCCAGAGGCTCTATATGGATAACCCTGGTTTCAATACTACTGTTTTTTTTTTTTTTTTAAATACCTACCTGGCACAACGTGGACTACTGGAACCGATTCATCACACTCTAAGCTCAAATCCAACAACTGACCTCAAGCTTTCAAGAAACCAAACACTCTCAGGTCTCCAAGCAAGTCATGTGAAGTGTGAAAGGAGTCTTCCACAGCACAGCAGCTATGCTCCCCACCAAAGTTTTCCCTTTCTCACATATCTAAACTCTAACCTCCTGGGCTTATTTGCAGGAATAAAATATATAGTAGTTTCCACTCCTGACTAAAAAGAGAAACAAAACCAAGAATCTGCAACTTTTTCTTATATCTTGCACAAACAGCAGTTTTAATTTTTATATGCAGGACTGGCAGCCCCTAGGAACTGGGGAGATTCAAATATCTATAGATCTGAAGTCTGTAACTTCAAAACTATCTCCTGCTTTGCTATCACTGAAAGAACTTGTAAGAACATCCTGTCCCTTTACATGACATTTCAGATCAGTCACTGTCTTAGTTTACTTTGTATAAAAACCAAGTTGCGTAACAACATTATCTCATGAGTAGAGGCATTTGTAGCAGTTGATAGAGTTCTGTGCATTGTAACAGATCTACCTACTGAGCTTTCCAAAATAAATCATCTTGTACAAGGTATTACAAATCATCATAGCTACTATGACAGCGCCTCTGGCCAGCATGAGTGGAAAGCAATGACTCATAAGGCTTTGATTCCTACCCGCAGGGAAGGAGGGCTCTAGTACTAAACATGCATAGGGGAAGGAGCAAACAGTAGAAAAAAAGCAAAGGGATCTGGAGTTTTGAAACGTAACACCATAAAGATGCTTGTTTAAAGCCCCAGCAACCTCTCACCCATGAAATAGGGGCAAACAGAGCTGTAATTTAAAGAGAAGTAAGATCAAATCAATGTTGACAATCCCAATAACTGAAACTTAAAAAAAAAAAAGCCAAAATATTTGAAATTGGAACACAACAAGACTCAGCAAGTCTGAAACAGCTCCCTGCATTTTGTCAGCGAGCTGTACTGCGCCATTCAATGCCAAATGGTAAAGCCAGCACAAAACCACTTAAGAACAAAGAAAGCAAGGAGATTGCAGAGTTACTAAACTACAAGCATTCACTAACAAAATCCTGGATCAGCAATCTGCAAGCAAAGCCTCCAGACTGACATGCACTGTGAGGAGAACTGGTGAAAAAAAAACTGTTTAGGGTATCACATGAAACAGTATATAAGAAAAAGGACTATCACACAAACAGAACACGAACAGCACAGCACCCCAAGTTCTAACTTTTCATTAGATGCTTTAAGTTTTAAAGGCTCCATATTCCACAGTTTTCCTAAATAGCACAAAATGAGGCTCCTAGTACTCTCACATTTATATATCAACATTAAATTCATGACCCTAAAAAAGCACATCTTGGATGAAACACACTGGTATTGCTATTGCAACTAATGAAGCCACAAAACAAATACTGTAAGGTAGTATATTGCAAATTTCCTCCTCCAAATTTCTGAAGTGCTCAAACTATAACTTCCAGACCTGAAAAAACCCTACCCTGTACTCAGCACACTTTAGATAAGCTTTAAAAAAAATAAACAACAAAACCAAAATTACTAGAGGAACAGGACTGCAACACACTTAACACAGTAAATAGTTACATTTGTTAAAGGAGTGGAAAAGTGCATACAAACTACAGCACTGTTTATTAGTAGTACATTGACAGATAAAAACACCATCATCTACATTCAATTAAATCAAAACCAGCTAGAGACCCTTGAAAGGAGGGGAAAAACTATTCTTTTTATTGCTGGTAAGATCCCATCAAGAACACAGGTATTTTCTTTTTATTTAAGTCTGCTGATCTTTCAAGTATTTTTCCTTATCATAAAAGTTAATTTCCTATCAGAAACCAGGCAACTAAATCAAGCACGCTTCCTTATTTATACTGAAAAGACAAACCAAAAATTGTCATAACTGGTGACAAATTATGTCCTCTTATTGCAGGGCCAAAAAGACACCCCTGTGAGCATTCCATAATTTTTGGTAATCAAATTATTCCCATAGGATTGATGAACAGAGGAATGAGATTTACAGTGCTACGTTACCCTACACTATGCTATTACTTGAGCACCTGTTTAGCTGTTGTACAGTCCCCCAGAAGTGAATGACATAACAACATTTAGTTTCTCTATTAGAAAAGTAAAGATATCAGGGTCCTTATTAAAATCCCTTGAAGATCTGTATCCAAAAGGTTATCACATACACTGTATTTCACATTCTTCAAGCAGTCCCAAAGAACAAGTATCTATGTATGTGTTTTGAACTTGCCTGGAGAAGGAATTACCTAATGGAAGCTGCTATGTGTTAAAACATGCCTTAGTTCACAAATGCAGACAGCTACAGAGCGGGTCACATGAAGATCAGTCTATAAAATCTAGTACAGAATTTGCTTTCTTTTTTTTATGCAGCTACTTTCACAGATTTTACTAACTGGAAACGTGTCCTAATGGGTGCAGGCAGCAGCTGTGCTCCTCACTGCACTCTCACAGGCAGACACAGGCAGCAGCACCATCCTCACCAGCTGCATTGTGCTTGAAAGCTGGGGGCGGGGAGAAAGACCACCAGCATATACAGCAATGGTTGCTATTCACCGGTCATAATGTATCACGGCTATTCCTCAAAGCAGACACTACGTACTAATCTTAGCCTTGTCTCTTCATACGTTTCATTTCCTGGCTGGCAACGGTACTATTCCTGACTTCACAGCACTACAAGAAAGATTTGTAGATACTGACATTTTTTCCAAAGTCAAACCGTCATTACAAAGTTAGAAAACACTGCCACATGAAGGCAATATAAAAATAAAGCAAAACAGAACACAAATTAAAAACGCAGTGATGTTTTCATTTCCCACCAGCAGGTCACATAGCCTACGGCAACAGTTGTAAGCAAACGACTGTACGCATGCCATGCCAAACAAGCCAGGAACTTGAAGTACAAGGAACTATTTAAGTCCCTGTTGAGAAGTCAGAATTGACAGAAACACAATGATATACAAGGACTGAAGGCAGGACAGTCTTGGTGAAGGGCAGCGCGTTTAATCTAGGGAAGCAACGCTCAGCTAAGAACGTCTGGGTTTTCCTCCCCTCCTTTTGCATTCCTAGGGCAAACAGAGGACCTGGAGGTCTCGCTTAACCCGCACAAAGCCTGCTCCGGGGCAAGAGCATCCAATCACGAAGCTGGGGAATGGAAAACGAAAGGAAACAAATGTTGTGCAACACAGCTCACCCCTCGCTGCACTCCCAGGTTTCCAGGGTCGGGACTGCCCCGGCGGCAATCCCGGCCCGGAACCCTGTGAAGCTGGCCGCACTCCGGCCGGCCGCCAGCCCCGGCCCCGAGTATCCCCCTCTTGGAGCCCGCCCCCGCGTATCCTCGTCTTGGAGTCCACCCCGTGCTCCTCGCTAAGCACCCTGAACGAAGAGAAAAGGGGGACTAAAGCAAAGGGGAGGAGGGGTGGCGGGTTGCAGGCAGAGTTTGGCCGAGGCCGAACATCGGCACCCCCCTACACACACAGTCCCCGAGGGCTACATTCCTCCCGGCGCTCCCCGGGCGGCCGCGGCTCCGCTCGCCCCAGGGCGTCCTTCACACAGCGCGGGGCCAGCCCGGGGCTGCTCCGCTAGAGCTGGGGAAGGTGAGTGGGGGAGCGCAGGCAGCTCCTCCCGCACCCCCGAATCTGCGGGGCCTGTCGCCGCCGCGCCACCTCCCAGCGTCCAGCAGCAGCTACCCCGACGATCGGTCGGCCGGGGCCAGCGGCACTCGTACCTGGTCCGACATGGCTCGGCCCCGTTACGTGCTGCAGGCTCGGCTGGGCCACGGCAAACGCTCGGCTTCTTTCTCTGCCCGCAGCGCAAACACAGGCCGCGGCGCGGGCGGGATTTCCGGTGAGCCTGAGCTCATTTCCCTTCCTGTGCGGCTCGGCTCGACCGCTCCGCCCAGCAGAGCTAGACCGGCTTCCCCTCGCGGAGCCTCCACATCGGGGTACGGGGGTGCCCTTTCCCCGGGCAGAGGTGAGGAGACGCAGCTGGAGGCCCGGCGCCCAAGCCCGGCGCCTGCGAGTGCAGGCGCCTAGCAAGGGCCCGGCCGCGGAAATGCACCGAATGGCCTGCCCCAAATTGAAGAAGATAGTTTTTGTTTGTAAGACCCGCTAGTTACAGCCGGTCGAACTACTGGAAATATGCGTCTGCACGGCCGTTCTGGCCTGCCTCGGAGAAGCCCAGTCACATAAGCTTCGTGACGAAAGCAGAGAGCAGAGCTGCAGCAAAAGTCACTGTCATTACACCTGCCCGTAATGGCTCGCTAAGGGTTTTTACTAAAGAATACATTTAACAACAAACCTCACTTTTCTGTTTATACACGGGTTTGTTTTTTTCTTATCACTGCAACGATGCAAACAGTAGGAGCCACATGGTATTAAGCAAATATACATGGAGGCAGTTGCACAAACCTCTAACGATACGCCAGTACTAAAGTAGGTCCTACTTTAATTGGTGCAGCACAGCTAGGTAGAGATGTCCAGGTTAAACCACAACAAAAGGTTTGCACAAGAAGCGACATCTACACCTTAAAAAGGTTACATTTAGACCTAAAGCTGTTTGGATTGCAGTGTGTATCACCCCTCTGCTACAGCTACAACTCCTGCATGGCATCACTGCTGGAGTAAGTACATGCTTTAAGTGGCTCAGAAACAGAAAAGCACTCATGAGAATAATACAATAACAATATTACAATAAAAATAAATGGATTAACAGAAGCTAGCCCCACTGAAAGAGGAGATTCTTACCTGGATGCTACCAGATAAGTTTTTTACCTTACATGCTACCTTTGGGGAAAGGAAAGAAACCTCTCTAAGAAGAGCACATCCACCTCTGCTGAGCCTCTAACAGGAGGTGCTATGCTCCTTTGCAACAACACCTAACACCAAAGCAGCTGAGTTCTCTGCCTGTATTGCTGCATTTCACTAGCTGAATGGTGTGTGTCAAACACAGTTACCCGAAGGGATGCACAGTGAAACTGCACAGTACCTAAAGTCATAGGAATCAGTTTTAATCACAACTGTTAATTCAGAATTAACAAGGGGAAAAAAAAAAAAAGCAACAAAACTTGAAGAGAATCAAAACAGATGCTATTCAGAGCTGCAGAATATTAAGACCATCTTTCTCAGGCAAGTCTTAGGAGGTAGGAAAGCCAAATATCTTCATACCATGCTAAGTTCACAATAACAGCTCATTATGAGCAAATAACACTACACAAAGCACCAAAATAAGCCATTCAAATGTTATGCAGCAATACATGATGCTAAAGAACAGAAAGCAACAAATACTCTGTCTTAACCATCACAAAAGAAAGCAGTTTTAAGAACAGAGAGTAGCCCTATAGCAATAACCCTGAAGTATCAGACTCTGGCACAAAATCCTAGTGTAATTCTTTGTTTTACCAATTTTTGTAAGCTGACACATAAATTGGAATGCACTTACCTATGCCTGTACATCTGCATACACACCAAATAACAGTATCACCACCTCTCTTTACTCCTTTCTTAAGCTACTAGTTGTGGACGCATTACTTTTTCAAGATACAAGCTAAATTTGTACATTTGTACAGTATCTACAAAGCTGGGTTCCATCCACCCCACAAAAACTATGGGGGGGTACATCAAAAAAACTCCCACTTCTTGTCTTTGACAACCCAAACCTCAACACACAGCATACTTAAAATCTAAAACACAATAAAAATAATGCTCTTTCAACAAGACTAAACATACCTTTCACATGCTTTTTTTGCCCAAAGCCACCCTTGCTGCTGCAGTCACCATCAAGACTACTTGCCCTAATCTTAATTCTAAGGTGCTTCTCTGATTTCCTCATTTGCAACTAATCTCAGGGACCTGAAGCCAATTAAGTTCACCTCTGCTCCTTCAAATTGCAGCTAGCTGCATATGTGGTTTAGGAGCCAAGAACTGTTAGTAGTTTTCTCAAAACTACTGCCTTGTGTAGTCTGTGCAAAACCTCTCCAGACCATCAAAACCAAATTTCTTATATAACTGAATTTTAAGAACAATTTACAATCTCATAATCTATGCGTATTAGCTTGAGACCACATAGTGCTGGCAAACATGATTGCTACAGTGTTCTAAGTCAGACAGTAACTAAGATTAAAATTTGCTCCTCACAGTAGCCTCCTTAAGACAGCAGAACCAATACTTTAAAGCAAAGGGGAACCTGGAAGTTCTCTTTCTAGTTGAACATCATTTATTAGGCAATGTTACTGGTTTTAGAACTTAAAAAGATTATCTAAAGATAATCTTTATAATAAAGATAAATAATAATAAAAGTTAAAGAACTTAAAAACATTATCTAAAGCACCAAAGTCTTTCCCTTTAAAAAAAAAAAAAACTTAAGAAATGATGTGAATGCCCAAATTTCTCTGACTATTGGCTTATTCCTTTCATGAGAAGCAGGAGAGGAAATGAAGGCGTGCTGACTCATACAGATGGAGGCATAAAATGCAGTAATGAATGTCTGATACAAATCTAGCCCAAGCATTGCTTGGACCCTCTCAATGCAGGCAGGAAAAACTCTTTATTTTCAGCGCACGTAACCTTCAATGTGAGGTGGGAAGTTATAATGCCAAAGGCTTTTCACCTGTACCCTGCTGGCATACAGCTTTTTCAGCTATTTAGTAGGGCCCATATCCAGGCGCAGAAGTGGGTCAGAGGCAGCAGCACACCAGTAGGTGGCACAAATGGATGGCTTTGGACACCCCTGGCTTCTACCTCCCCCACACAGTAATGTCTCTGTCCTGGGGACACTGCAGCACAGTGGGGAAATAAGTAAGCTTTAAAACTCCTTATTTAAATACATGCAACTTGGCACTTCTCTTAAAGAAGCAAGGCTTTTAAATGCACACAACTGTATTTACACGCAATGAATTCTTCATGGAAAAAAGTTGTATCTGTATAAAGAACTGCAGACAAGGCCTTGGGAACAAGCCTGAAGGCCGAGAGCAGAGCAGGCAAAAGGGGATCTTCCGGTTCGTGGAGAGGGACGGGAGTGCCGGCTGAACCCCGGCACTGCAGTGGGCTGGATGCAGCGCCCCAGCGCAGCTTGGGACCACCAGCCCAAGCCTGCTACAGGATTCACTCGGGAAATCCAATCTACCGCTATAGGCACCCGAGCCCTAGGTCACAGGCCCTTTTCTACCCCAGCCGCCATCCCTGCCAGCGGCTACTGAACCGGCAATGCCCGACAGGCGCCGGATAGGGCCGGCTGCTGCTGAGGAAGCAGGAACTGATGAACGCCTGGGGGAGGTACACTCAGTACCCAGCGGCCAGGCAGGCACCTCACAGGGGCAGGCACCTCACTGGGGCAGGCTAACCCAGAGCCCCCACACACCGGACAGCCTCCCGAACGCTTACAGGGAGGCTTATTTGCATGAGGAGACTCGCACCTTCACTAACGACGCTTAACGGCCACAGCACGGGCCCTGGGCGGGCGCTAACGCCACTGTAACA